TAGAAATCTCTTGCTGTATTGATTTCTATATATATGATAAGCAAAGTCTGTATCAGCTTTAATTATGGTAGATTTAAAACAACCTGAATTCTATTCTGATGGTTTCTCACTGAAATAAATTGCCAAAGTGCAATTCTCACATCGTTCATCCTTGTCTTTGAAGATAATTTCATCATATTTTCCTTATTGAAAACTTGTGATTTAGTTTCCATGACTCCCATCTTCCTGGCTGGCTGGCTGCTCTTTGAGCTGCTTTTTGTGAGTCCCCATTTTCTTCTAAGCTTTTCCCAAACCTCATTCCTGCTCCTTACCTACTTCAGGTTCACCTCCAGTCTGACAAGTCTGTCTGTAACTGCAGTCCATCACCCCACAGAGGGAAGAGAAGGGTCACTGTTGTCTGTAGTGACCATCTGTAACCCAGAAATGCTCTGACTAGATGAAGTTATGCAACTCAAGTACAGGTGTTGCCATTTCTTCCTTAGGAACATCTCTGCTTTTTACTTTGTGTGGGGGCTAAAAGTATTTTAGGTCCTTAGGTCTTTTGTAGAGATATAAATGTTGTTTTTTTTCCCCAGTGTGTTTGCTTTGGAAAAGCAAAACTTTTTTAGCTTTTCAGCTTTTAAAAATAATATATTTAGTGTTTTTATTCACAACTGCTTTCTATTTAGAAATTTTTTTTTCTTTAATAATACATCTGATTGCTCAGGATTTTTTTTTTTTTTTTAAATTTAGACACCAAACCTTTTTTTAACCTTCTTAATTTTGAGTTGATTGCAAAAGCAAACATCTGGTTTTCATCCAGTTTTATTTCTGTTTAACCTCCTTGCTCTGGTCAAGTCAAACTCTTCAATTATTATCATCTTATACCATCTTCCTAACTATGAGTCATCTCTTCTTTCGTATTCCCCCTGCAGTGCTTCCCTATTAGTCATGCTACAGGCTGTCCTTTATTATGTAATCTATAAGTTCATGGTATTTATTTAGAAAGTGAATAACTGCACGTTCTGTATCTTCTCTATCTCCTTTTTTTTTCAGTTTTCCCACAGTTCTTGTGACTTGTCCAGATACAGATGGGACAGCTTCAAAATCCTCCCTGATTCGCTTTGTGATGCCCAGTGTAGTTCCCAGATGCTGTGCAGGCAGGGAGTGTTAGGAGACAGGAAGGATTGGTTCCCTGGTTTTGCTAAGAAATGCTAAAGGCTCACACCCAAGTGCATGTGGGTTGTGTGCAGATACATTCTTTAGGTATGGGTCAGTTTGGCTGCAAAGCTTAAGCCAAATGTCTGATCATAATTGAAGCCACAAACCCTAGATACAATACAATAAATGTCATAGCAGGGCTTCCCATCATCTACATTTGGAAATACTGGTCATTACAACGTGTTCAGTAATAACATTCTTTCCCACTTGTGTTTACTAACATTGAAAGCACCATCCTAGCAAAGCTTAGGCAGCTACAGCTGAGCCAGCTACACCTACAAAATCGGGTCTGTGAGAAAGCTTAGTAACAGAGACAGTCTGAGGAAAAAGCTTCTTAGAAATCAGAAATACCACCACAAATGCATTATTTCTGAATCAATTACTTGCCTCTTCTGTGTTGGTATATGAACCACAGCAGTCCTAACATTCCTGCACCTGGTCTAATATTGCCAGCATTCACTGTGTTCCACGGAATTAATTGAAAAAATTACTAATTCTGGTTTACTTACTGTGTCTGACATAATCAGCCCCACTGTGGACATCACTGATGTTGGAGCAGGTCATTTTGCTTGAAGACTTTGGACCTGAAATAAAGAGGCATATGTTTAGAACTGACCTGTAACTAGGTAAAAGATTTGGCAGACACATCTGTAGTGTGCTTGGTGTTCCAAGAAAGCCAAATGTAAGTGTGGTATAACTTTGGACCAAATACAGCTGTACACCATGGATGAGATTCCTGCCCAGAGCAGGACATGGTTTTCCACCCCTGACAGAGCTTTCTAGCTGTGTAAAAGAAACCACAGTTTAAAGAACAGAAGAAAGACAAGTTTTAATCTACTCAGAACCAAAAATATTGGGTCTGAATACAGTAGTCGTGCCACGCTGTATATAAATTTTCTTTCACATGACTTGGGTGGGTAAGACTTGCTTAAGATTTTTACAGGGATTGTACATCTAGTTTTAAGGCAGACTCTGAGCTTGCTTGATCTTACTGGTTGTAAGCAAGGAAATCCAAAACAAGAACATACCCGGGATTTTTTGCTTTCCTGTAATCACCACACCAGTTAGTGACTGAGTCAGGGCTTTGTGTCAGTGATGGGGGAAGTTCTGAGAAGTATCCCCAGGGTTAGAAGCTTAACATTATATCATTAGACTGTATGCTTGAACTGCACTGCCATGGGAATGATTTTTTTAATGCATATTTGTATACTAAAGCTTGTGGATTTGTAGAGTTGGATATCCATCCATAAATGCCTGTTTGCACACCCTTAGTTGCATTTTTTTGGTAGATTAGACCAAGTGGACTTGGACACCCACGTGGGTTTCTGCAGGAAGATTTGAACTTGCTCTGCCCACGCTGTGGCTTTGGTGGGAGTGTGTAACTGTGCTCCAGCCCCAGCCCAGCCTGGGGAGGGCTCTGACAGCAGGGTCCAGCACAGCCTCTGAGCACACATTTGCGCCTCCTGGTAAGGGATACCTTAGGAAGAGGTCTTGGCTTACTTGGAGACACGTGAAATTAAGGAGCACAAAAATGAACTATTATAAAATAATTCTTCAGGTAACTTTTTACAGTCATATGCTATTACTTGGAAAATACAATGCCCTACTTAAAGCAGGCATTTTCAAGTTTCCAGAGGGACTCAGGTACCTTTTGAATGATTTTTCATCAATTTACATTTTAATGTTGTTATTTTTGCATTCTCTCATCTCTGTCCTTTGTAATTCTTGTGTAACAATGTTGTAAAATCTGAACAGATCTGCTGTGCCACAGCTCTAAGATGTTTGTATTTAAACTCTCAATGTTTGTGTGACATAAGAAAATAATGTTCTTGTTTTCAGGACTTGCTATTCCCGGTCTTAATGCTTTAGCCAGAGGAGTATCCTTCCTGTACTGCAGAACAGGAAATAAGCTGGTTCCTTTTAAATTCTGGAAACAATGAACTTTGTCCTTAGCTTAATTTTTCAGAAATTACATTCATTTTGATGTTTTGGACAATGCATTAGCTTGTTTTGCTTCCTCATGAAATACAATGGGAACAGCATACTATAATCATACATCCATAATAAGCTATCAAGTCTGAATTTAAGAATGTAAATATTACATCTTTAATGTATGTTTTCTCTTGACCCTCCCTTGTTCAGAAGATGAAATTGGGGTCATAGCTGTATGTGCCAAAGAGATAATGAAGCACTATGATAAATTGATACAGAAACAAGGGGAAGGGAACAGTAGAAGAAAGAAACAACTATTTTTTCCTTATTATTTCTTTTCCCTGGAAAAATTTACAAAAAAAGCCATAATTTTTGAAAATACAAGGCTTTTATGTTTATATCCTCCCCCAGGTTTTGTGGTTCCCGATGTAGTATGTAATGTGTGTCACACTGGTTACTCACACAGTAACAATGAGAAACTGTATTTTATTAAATGTAATGAAACATAAGAAGTTACCTCAAACTTTCTAAACAGTTTTGCCATGTTTGACAGTATTGGATTTATTTTTTCCTTGAAGTAATTATGCTAACACTTAGTCTGGAAAACAGCATTTTCTGATGTTCAGAGAGAGGATAAGGTCTGTTTCTGATTGTGTCACTTTTTTGGTGTTTTTAAGTAAGCCACATAAAATCTGGCTTCTCTTCAGTTTCTTGTGTTTCAGCAAGGTTTATTTAAATGTACAATCAGCCTTTATATGAAAAAGAACATCCTTAAGAAAAAACCATCAACTAAACACGTACAGCTTTTCTTCTGAAATGCTCTGGAAACATGATTTCTGGTTCAGCAGTGAAGTCTTGGAAGATTGGTTTAGGACATGTAATAAGGCTCTGGAATCATTATGTGTTGCAATTTATGGTATAAATTCTTCTTACCTCACTGTTTTCTTGATGTATGCTTAATATCCCTTACAGTGCCCAGCTGATAGGAACAGTGGATGTGTGTGTGAAATGCAGCCCCTCTGTCAGTTGTGAGCACAGAGCAGCAACCTCCACTGCCAGGGTGGGTTGGGAGTCACTGCTCTGAACTGTGTGAACAGCAGGTCTTAGGGGGGGGACTGTCAGGTCTGAATAGACAGAGCATATTTCTGAAGTTGAACTACGTGGGGTTTTGCACTGTCTGTGCTCACATGGGAATCAATGTTTTCTTTTGTCAGTACTTCAGCTGAGGCTGCAACAGAGACGGACACGAGAACAGCTGGTGGACCAGGGCATCATGCCACGTAAGACTTGTGTTATTTCTAGTCATTTGTATTTCAATACTGTGGGTCTTTTCAACTGAATATATAAAATAATGAAGAGTCATTAAAAATAACATCAGCATTTGGAAAAGACTTGTGGAATCCTTTTGGTAACCTCCATGAGCATGCAGTAAATTCATCATGTTACCTCATGTTTCAGCAATTGTGAGGAAAACTCAAGGATTTGGAGACGTAGTCTGATTCTCCTTTTATTTTCTCTATTTAAATAATTATGACTAATTTGCTAAATAAACTGAATTACATAATTGAGTGGACATTAGTAACAAAGCCAGCTTTAAAGAGTAGGATGGCAAGGGCTGCCAAACAAATTGAGGCATGCAGAGAGAGCATCGAGAATCCGCAAGTGGACAGTGTGGAATGAGACTGGGCACAAGATAATAGGTCCAAATTGTCAAGAGATTCAACTGTGAAAAGTGATTTTAATCAAAAGCAAACAAAAACCTCAGCCATTGAAACATACCAAAATTATGGCAAGTGATTAAAAATAGCCCAGTGTGCACTGGTGAATTGTAGCTTGAAAGCACAGTGTCTTAAAGCAAATCTGTTCTTGAAGCTTTCTGGGTGTGCAGCAGACCTGAGACTGCTTTACTAAAGCATCATCACCCCCCAGGTCTGTAGTGCTGATTACCTTCAGGAACAGAACAATGTGTTTGCTTTTGAGTGAAACCTGGGAAAAAAACTTATAAACTGTCAGAGAGTGTGAAAGGTTTTGTGCTGTGGTATCTCCTCTGCCAAAAGCATGGCAATTCAGATGGATTGTGCCTGCTGCTGTTTCACCCTTCCAGCAATTCAGGTGAGATGAAGCACTCTACAGTTTATGTTATTTCTAGCTGAATAGTGATTTTTACTCTTTTGGGCTATTCAGCTAACCTTAATCTGAACATTTAAGGTCTCTATTTTTTTTTAAATCAGCACCAGTAGTTCCTAAGGGACAGTCCAGTTCTCTCTAATAACAGCAAGTGTGAGGTATGGTCAGACAGTAAATACAGTATTTATGAAACGGTATTTTGGCATTCTGAAGCTTACCTAATACAATTTCTACTGTGGAACTGTATTGGTAAACAAACAGTGACCAAGTGAACTGTTACATGGTAATATCTGTATTCTGTGTAGGAGTATTGCTCTGCTGCATGTAGGTGAACCCAACTAGCATGAATCAGATGTAAGCCTGGTCAGATGCAAACACGACTCCGAGGTGGTGGGAAACACCCATGCACATGTGCTGATTAGGATATTTCTTCTGGAAATCACTGCTGCCATTTTTAACTCTTACTCTCCTTTCACAGCTTTGAAAAGTCCAGCTGCATTCCATGAGCAGATCAAGAGCCTGGAGCGAGCCAGGGTAAACCACTTTGTGTAAACTTGTGATTAACATCTGGAAATGGATAGTCAGTTGTGTGTGATACTAAATTCTCTGAGTACATGGAAAATTAGCACTACAGTAATAACATGTACTTTTATCTTGGAAGAATTCATTAAAATAAAATATGGGTGTCAAATCTGAGAGGAACTTTCCTAAGCCTTCACAGATCAGGGTGGGTGATAAACTTGTGGTCACAATGTAATGCTCCCCCCAGTTAAAGATGGGATACTTGGGTAAATTACGCTTGTGCAGTATTTCTGTAGCAAATCTGTACTGTTGTGATTATATGGTGATATGGGATCAAATCCAGCAACATTCCCAACTTGTTTGGGGAAGATAGAAATTCATTAGCACTGCTTAACTGATAGGAAAACAAAAAAGCAAAACGAACCCCATATTCTGACAGTGGTGTCCACCCATCTGCATGAAAGAGCACAAGTCATTGACTGGAGATATGGGATTTATCAAACTTTGATTTTTCTAGTGAACAGTAGTTAATGCCATTTCCTCCTTTCTTCTAAGACTGAAAATTTCCTGAAGCACAAGATCCGCAGCCGGCCGGACCGCTCGGAGCTGGTCAGGATGCACATCCTGGAAGGTACGTCCAGCTCTGGGCCCCTGAGCTGCTGCAGAAGGGGCTCCTGTGCACTCACTTGTCTGACTGAATTACACTTCAAAGGCAGTTATTTCTGAAGGTTTAGTTGCTCTGTTTCTCTAAGTCTACAGTGTATTTGTTTGCTATTGCATATTGCTCTTATTCTCTAATGGTAATTATGCCATGGTCTGTGTGGAATGCTTGTAGGGCTTCAGTTCTTACTCATGCCCTAAAATGATCCGACAGTCTTGTGCTTCCCCCTTTATAAAACCTTTAGAATATAAACATAATAATATAAAACCTATTGAACCTTTAATAAATGACTGTTACCCTGCTGTGTTAACTTTCCTTGTTGCTCAGTCATTGGAAACAAGT